CCGCACACTCACCGGACCTGGGCTAGAACTGGGTCTCCTGAATGTTTTAAATATGTTATCTAGGACCAGATAAAATTTTTTCTATTAAATAGAGAATAGTATTCAAAGCCTCTTTTCACATGTAAAGATTCAAATTTTGAAGTTATGTTGACTTATTGAGTCTTGAACCTTCTCATAATTCTGTAACAGTAATGACCCATAGTACATACAATTACCATTTTGTTTTCATTGACTTGCTCTTATTGTATAACTTGGATTAAGATTTATTACTTTTAAAATTCTTTTCAAATATGATTTAACAAATACAGCCGGTTAGTTTTTTAAATATTTTTATTGAGAAACAAATGACAATGAGACAGCTTCACAATCAATTACTAGCACATTTTCAATAATTAACACATTGCATATTTTTCCCTTAGTGGTTATTCATTGTACAAGATGAAGACCTGATATTCTGTCTCAAACACTATTAGAACAATCTTCCCTATTCATTGCATTAAGAGAATAGAGCTGTATATCTACCCTATTTTAAGTATACACATATTTTTGTATCCCCCTTTTTATGATTAGTTTTGTCAGAGAAGAGCATTCCATTATCATTTAAGGTAAGTGTTATTTATAAAATCAGAGAACATTTTTCCATATCCACTTTATGAAATGATTTTAATAACCAAAATCAATTTGCAATAGATGAAACATATTTAAGAATATTCTAAGCCCTCATAAATTTTTAAGACATTTATTACTTCCTTATTTCTCAGGCTATATATAAAATGTTTAATAATGGAATCACTATTGTATAAGAGATTGCCACTGGTATATCTTTATCATTTTTTTCAAATGGTCAAATATACATGAGAATACAAATGAAGAATATTGAGAGAGAGAGAAAGTGGGACGCACAGGTAGAGAATGCTTTACCTCTGCCTTCCTTAGATTTCATTTGGAAAATTGTACAAAGAATGCAGAAGTAAGAAAACAAGACACTGGCAGTATTAATTATCTGAATTGGCATTGAAAAAATTATATGTGGTTAGTTCATTAATAAAAGCACTCATGCAGGAGTGTCTATACATTGGAAGGATGTCACAAAAAGTAATTAATTTGATTAGACTTGCAAAAAGTTAACCCTAATAGAAGTCCAACATGAATCATAGAACGAAGATTACCAAAAATGAAGGTCCCAATAATCATCTGAATACAGAGTTTCTTTGACATCATGGGGTGGTACTGCAGAGGGCTACATATGACCACATAGTGGTTGTAGGCTATTACTGCCAAAAAGCAGAATGCATTTTCTGCCAGACAGAGAAAGTGAAACTGTGACATGCATTCATAGAGGGAAATCCCTCTGTCCTGAGAAAAGAAGTTCTGTAACATCTTGGGAGTGATGGCACAGGAGCAGCAGGCATCCATCAGAGCCAGGTTTCCCAGAAAGATATACATTGGTGTGTGAAGACAATGCTCCTTGTAAATCAAGGCCACTGAACCTAGATTCTCCACCATGGTGAGGAGGTAGATGGCAGAGAACAGGATAAACAGAAATATGTTCTAGTCTGGGTAATCTGTGAATCCTAGCAGGATGAATTCAGTTGTCAAGGGGTGTTTCACCTGAGCCATTTTTCATTGCATTGCTGAGATGTAAATTGCAAAAACATTAATTAAGATTATGAGAACAATATGTCTAATTCACTCCTCATTACCTTATGTTTGCTTTTTAATTTATTCATTTTTATTTAATTTATTTGCAGTGCAGGTGTTCAAACGTGGGACCTTGTGCTTGTAAAGCAGGTTTTAATGCTGCTGAGCTCTACCCTGCCCCTAAATAACCCTATGTAAAAGAGGAAAGAATTCTCTACTTCAAATCATCCCATGTCATCTAGTGCTCCTAACAGTAGGTCAATTCATGTGAAAAGAAATGTATCATGGAATATACACACAGGATACTCTCTATTCACAGGTCTTGAAAATCTGTGAATGCCCCGTGTGAAAAAGCTTTTCTACGTTAATTACTCTACGCCCATTAATGAGCTGTTGGCCAATATTTGTAATTTGCCATTATCTAATATAAAAATTTAAGGTAACATTATCTCCACAAAACAATCAAGAACTGTGGGCAAGAAAAATAGCTCAGCAGAGTAAAGAGCCTGCAAGCAGGCACAGGGGTTGAGGTTGGATCCCCAGGCCTGCCATGCCAACCCCGCCCAAGAGGTGTGCTGAGACCACAAATGAGACTGGGTGTGGCGGCACGCACCTGTAATCTCAGTTCTTGGAAGGCTGTATATATTTTTAATTCCTGCTTCTTCTTCAGAACAACTATCATCTTTAATCATTGTTTTCCAAGTCTTTGGTTTAAATTATGTACTATTTTTTATACAATTTTATTCTGAAAGAAGTAGCAATGAGATAGTTTCAAAACAGGTTAGTAGGACAGTTAGAATAATTAATACATTGTATATTATTTTCTTTGTAGTAATTATTCATAATACAACATGCAGATGTAATATCTTGTATAAACTATTAGTTCAAAACTTTCTTGTCAATGAACTAAGAGAAAGTAGCTGTATATCTAGCTAAATATTTTGTATATAGAGATACATATATTTTTTCATTACAAAGTGGTCCTTCATTTATATCCCCCATTTTTGTTTACTTAAGTCAGAGATGTGTATTGCATTGCCATTCATATAATGTAGGTGCATGAATTCAACAAGTTAACCAAGTAAATACAGTAGTCTATAATAGTAGTGGGATATCCATCTGAGTGGCAATGTCAGAAGTTGTTGACTTGAGCTTCTTACAGTTCAGCATATTAATATGGCTTTACTTTTTATACCTCGTTTTTATACATTTCTGCAGGATGGTTAAGACTAAGATAAAGCAAAACCTATACAATAAAAAATGTAACAAATTTATTTGACAAGGTCAGCCAAATCTCCTCAAGACATCCTGAAACCCTGTACAGCAGTTTGTAGATCTTTTGTCAGCGTCAGCCTGATGAGTCATGGCCATTGTTTGACCAGTACGCTCTCTTTGAATGCCTGAGAGAATTTTTTTTCTCCATGTGACTCTCCTTAGGCACACTCAACAACATCAATCAATTCCCTCTGTGGCCCCATAATCTCCTTGATCAGAAAATCTGGGACACAACCGAGTTATAGAATGTTACAGTACAGATTCTTTGATGTATTGAGTCCTCACTGACTTTCAAGGGCTAGAGCCAAAATGTTGGCTATCTTTGTAGCCCTTCTTTTTCTCTAAATTTTTGGTCAGCAAACTTAAGTTGTTAATTCTCCAGAAAAGAAGCTTAATGCTATCATTACCCTAGAAGATAGGCTATTGTACTTAACATCATTATATATCTGAATATTGAAAGCCTTAGACATAACATGGATCAGGTATTTTCTACCAATCATAGATATGCCAAACTTTATATACATAAAGAATGTGAAAAATAAAACAAAAAATAAAAATAGTAAAAAAGAAATAAACAATTACAATTTTTACACAGAAATTTACAAATCTAAACATATAAAAATTGTAGAACGATAGACCTTTGACATTTTTTAGTCTCTTGTTTATATTTATTAGATATTTTTGAACAATCATTTACTTGAGAGACATTATAGCAGTAATTGATATGACATGACAAGCAGTATATATTTAGAACACCAAAATGGGAGGCATTCCAAGCATAAACCTAGTGTTATACATTGCTATTTTCAGTGCAGTTGCTCAGTACACAGGTATCAGCATATATAGTTAGTAAGTGTGAGAATCCTATCAATTAACTGGTAGTTTCAAAAACATGCTGAAGTTTCTCAGGATCATTGTCTTAACCATATTGTGTTTACAAATGTATGGTTTTACCCCTGCCATGTTTCCTAGCTTTTCTCCTTGCCTTCTATTTGTTGTTTATTCATTAATTATTTTCTTTCCATTTAGTTGTGTTATACCTTTCATTTTTTCTTACTTCTTTTGAGTTCTTAGACTAAGGAGACTGTATGATATTTACACATGCAGGTCTGTTTTATTTCACTTATGAGTATATCTTCAAGAGGCATCCACTTATATACTAAGGCTTCCTTCTTCATGCTCTTGGGACCCCTGTAAACCTCTGGACCCAGCCAAGGCCCGGCTTGTGACTGATAACTTCCACTGCCCTCTCAGGACTCATCCAGAAACAGCTCAAGCCCAAGCATGGAGAAGGTGATGGAGAGCATCTGTGCTTTCCTTCGTCCCACTGGACCACTCCGACATACCCCTGGCCAAGTGTGTGAGTAAGAATTTCCACCGCATTCTCTGGACAATTGCAGACCCAGCACAGGCCTGAAATACAGGCTTGGGGTGAAACTCTGCAGCTGAAGTCCCTGCAGGCAGTCTAGGGGCCAGAACCACCCAGCTATCTCAGGAATAGAACATCTTCTCAGAGGGGCACAACAGGTTCACTTCCAATGGCAGCAGCATGAAGAAGCTGAGCATAGCAGCAAGACCCAAGACAGGCACAACTGGATGAATTCAACCTGCATAGATCTGCACCCAAATTTAGTAGGTGCTATGGTTAGATCTGCATCAAGACTCTACACCAAAGGTCAGAGGAAAGTGCTATACAAACCACAAAGAGAAGGAGCAAAATGCAATCTCATGCCCCAATCCCACCCAAAACAAGTGCAAAAATTAGCACAGAAAAAAATTTGGAATCCCACAGCTGAACTCTGAATTAACAGCATCTAAGGTAAAGAAACAACTTCAGAAAGGTATACAGGAACTCTGACCAGAAATAAACTCTGAATTAATAGCATCTGAGGCACAGAATCAAATGCAGAAACATAGAGGAAATAAGATCAGAAATAATTTGTGAATTAAAAATTTGGTAAGTGCTTCTCAAGAAGACACTAATAAAATGATAGTGGAATTTAGAAAAAAGATAGAATCCGTTAATCAGCATATATGGAAGGAAATAGATCAAATGAAGAAGAGTCAAAAAGATATAGAGAAACTTAAAATCTCAATCACAAACTTCGAAAATCCTTTGAGTGAAACTGAAGATAGAGTTTCAGATTTTGAAGATGCCATTGCAGCTAGTAAAAAGGAAACAAAATATCTCTTGAAAATGACTTGGGGCAGCATGGGTGTGACCCTCTTCCACCCCCTTGAGACGCCCCCCACCACTCTGCAGCAACCTCCCCATCACGCTCACCCAGTAGGAATTTCTGCTGCATTCAGGAACCCCCAGATCCAGTCCTAGAACAGGCCCTGTGAGTATGTGGCAGAGCTTCCACTACACTGTGCTGGAGGGACCTACAGGTCTCAGCCCAGGTGCAGTGTGGGTGAGACCCACTTTCAACCCCTTGGGACAACGCCAACACTCTGTAGAACCCCCCACCCTGCCCACAGAGTAGGAATTTCTGCAGCACTCTGGGAACACGCAGATCCAGTATTAGCCCAGCCCAGTGAGTGTGGGGGAGAGCTTCCCAATACTCTGTGCCAGCAGGACCTACCAGACCCAGCCCAAGTGCACGGTGGGTGAGACTCACTTTAAAACCATTGAGACTCCCCTCACCAGTCTGTACTACCCCATCAAAATGCTTACTGAGTAGGAATTTCTGTCACTTTCCGGGAAAGCCCAGATCCAGGCCTAGCCAAGGCCCAGGGAGTGTGTGGGAAAGCTGCCTCTTACAACTACTCCAGCTTGTCCACTACAGATTCAGCTAAGGCCTGGTATACAGGCCTGGGGTGAAACCCTGAAGCTACAATCCTTACAGAGAATGTAGGGGACAGAACCATCCAACTAGTCCAGGAGCAAAATATCTTGAAAGAGGGGCACAAAAAGTACACTCCTGAGAGCAACAGCAGGAAGACGCTGAGCACAGCACCAGACCAAAGTGAGGAAAAACTGAATAAATCCAAACTTTGTAGATCTACACCTGAACTTCACTAGTTGCTAAGGTTCTAACTGCACCAAAGAACTACAACAAAGTTCAGGAGAGAATGCTACACAAAATCACAACAAGAAAGAGCAAAATGCAATCTCAAAACCCAAGCCCGCCCATAACAAGTGCAGAGGACACTAACAAAGAACAAATTGGGAATCACAAAGCTGAAATCAATGAATCAACAGCTTCTGAAATAAAGACATGGATGCAGAAAGGTATAGAGGAACGCAGATTGGAAATGAAAAAAAGAAATCCATGAATTAATAACATCTGCAGTAAAGAATCAAATGCAGAAACATAGGGAAGAAACCCAATGCCCACACAGAACAAGTACAGAGGTAAATAGCTAGCTCAAATGTATGAATTAATAGTGTTGATAGTAAAGAAGCAACAGCAAAAAGTCATAGAGGAACTCAGAGCAGAATTCATTTCTAATAGCTCAGCTCAAATGTAAGATTTAATAGCATCAATAGTAAATAAGCAACAACAGAAATAGTGGAACTAAGAGAGAAGTTCTTTTCTGAAAAAAAAAATTCACAGAAATCATAGCATCTGAAGTAATATATCAACTACAGAAACATAAGCAGGAAACCCAATCTGAAAAAAACACTGCAGTAAAAGAATTTATAACTAATACTAAAGAAGATATTGATAAAAAAAATAGAGGAGATTACAAAAAAGATG